ATAGTAATACATATATATATACACCACGACTTATACTGCAGCTTGATATAGTAATACATATATATATACACCACGACTTATACTGCAGCTTGATATAGTAGTATGTTATGTTACACCAAACATGCGAGCTGACGTATACGTAGACCAATGTGATTACTTTGTGCACCTGTTATCTTATGTGAAAAAAAACAACAAGGAAGTTCTAGTAAATGATATTATATTAGCTAAACACTACCTCCTCCTTTTTTATACGTATTTCTATATTTGGATGACAACAGTTTTTTTAATTAGCAGTTATATCACTCACTGTGTTCTTAAGCTTAGACTTTATTAACTCATATATCAGGACTGTTCTTTCACGATAGATCTGTCTTCATTCCTTATTCAAAAATACATACTTACTTTTTGCATGATCGGAATCGTTGGGTTTGCTTTATTACCTAATGTATTTAAACAATTCTGATTTAGAAACGTTTATAACCTCACTGAATATCTTACCGGATCAAGAGAAAAGAAAGGACCACGGTGTGAACGTTACCTCATCTGTAGCTGTTGTAAGTCAAATCATTTCAAATATGCGTTGTACTAATTATTTTCTGGTAATGTTTCACATTTTATTCAATGCGAAACGTTTCATTAATTCATCACCTAAAGCTCTTCAGGTTTTTGCACGATTGAGAAGAGAAAGTCTTTGAACACATAATATATATATATATATCTATATCTTTACGTACTAAATTATATATTAGAATTTCTATTAAAACTTCGTAGTTTTCCAGTACTTATTCAAGATAGTAAAATTGTGCTAACAGAAACACCTGAAGTTTCCAAGTGTTCCCAACAGGTTAATCAAAGCCCAAAAGAATTCGTTACTTCCCATCGCAACTGCATGAATCGAGAACTTTTAACATCGGCTTCTTTGATCAACCACCATCCACGGTTTTCAGGAAACACAAAAAACTTCAACAAATGCTCAATCCAAAATGAAGACGAGTTAAAACACTTTGTGGGAGAACTTCAGGTTTTGCTATTTTGATACATGTCCTGGTATTTTGTATGACGTAAAGATTAACTTAACAACTCTCTATGCTTAATACTTAGTGCATGCATAGATAAAATATTAGAGAATTTTTAATCTCAAATAAGTAACACCATCCCAAAATCGTAATGCACTATTATGTTAGTGCAATATTCAAGTTATTTCGAGAATAAGTATATATACTGTAAGTTTTATATTAAAGAGTTCTTCGGAAATGTAAGGAAATAAATTATGTCTTTACAACAGTTTTATGTCTTATAAAATAAAATATACCATGTTTACTAACACAAAATTTCAAAATATTTATATAGTTTCATTTAATATTTTTATAGGTTACCGAGGGAGATACACAAGTGTCAACAACCGTTTAAGGGATATATAAAGTGTAATTTAATTAGAGAAAGACATTTGAACTCAGTGAACAGAAAGTTGTGAATGAGTTTCCATGATATCGGTACTCCGTGCCTTCTATTACTTGTGATTTTTAATAAGGTCATCCAGTTGTTAAAAAACACAATAGTTGATGGCTTTCAGAAGGTTTTATATGAATATTACTTTTATTCTTCAAAAAATAAAAATAGAAGGTTTCCCTTTTTAGTAATATTACAGAAAATTTATTTCTAAATTTGGAATTGTTGTTAGAATAACAAGTGAAGGCTTTGTCTTGATTTTCTTTCTTCAAATGAACAACTTGCGGCTCATGAATGAAACAAAAAGACTATGAATGCGAAGACAAAAAAGGTTTTGCATTATGGCGACTACAGATCGGATTTTATATAGCTTTTAATATTTTCATGAACTGTTTTGTAATTGGTGTGTTACGGTATGTACAAGCTTTGTTTTTGTGGTAGTTGAATAAAGAACTAATACAAATGATATTTTGTGTAAATATCGAAATCTGTTTTATCAGTCTTATTCATATCACGAAAACAATCACAGAGAAGTATTTCACTATTTTTTAAATAATCTTTAAAATTTAGAGGGGGGAGTTAAAAGTTAGAAAAATAATCCAAGATTCTTATGTAATGGTAATCTTATTGCGTTATTAACAGTTGATCAAACAAGCAAGTGCACTATGATTACTGCTGCTTGAGAAATTAGAAATTTAAGTCACAGCTGATACTTTGAACAGTAGTTTTTCATTGATAAGACTAATAAGAAAATACAAATGCTTGAAGTATAGGCCTGTATGACTTTCATATGGCCTTGCCTTTTTGGTGTAATCTGAATGGCTGACGTCACATACTGATGAACTTGTGGCGTCATTAAAATTTCACTTTTTGACCAAATATGGCGCTCTCTAGTGGCCATGGTTTCATATATGTTGTAGCCATCTTGGATGAGCTTTTACGGGTGCAGCAATATTAGGCAATAACAACTGAATATACTCAGCTGCGTTGATCTTTCGAAATACAATTTCTGGTGGTTTAAGACATGATATAGCCATCCTGACCGGGACCAATCGTGATTTAATCACGTTATTTATGAAAAGATACACTTAAAACTAATTTGATTTCAATACACAATCAGTCAGGGAACATATTACCAAAACTATTAGGCAGATAAAACGTGATTTGGTTTGTTATTATATTTACTCTGATATTACAATATACACATATATTACTATTCAATATAATTTTCTGCCAGATAAGTCACTCTGCACTGCTATGCAGAGATTTTTGATCTGACTTTAATTGCAAGAGAAATGATTAACACCTTTTGCAGTTAAAGTCACATCAAAAACAATATAACAGCAGTTTGGGTTAAAACAACATACATAAACTTTCATAAACATTAACAGCTATGTTTAGAATTAAACAGTGAAAAAGATTGACAATACTTTTCAGACCATAGCTAAATACACTTCGTTGTTGTTGTCGATTAACGAGACGAGATAAGTAAAAAAAGCAAATGTACAAAACCAAACGAAAGAGGATCAACCAATACTCAAAGATAATGTGGCTTAGCCTATCAACACACACACACAATGGTATATGATATATACAACACTTAACACTGTACGCGCCAAATTCAGTACCATAAAACAATCAGCTCTTGAGTTCATTTAACATTAGAAATAACCATCTTTTAGCTGAAATTCGATTTTGAACATTCAGATGAAAGTGCCAAAGTACCTAATCTTAAAAGTTCCAGAAAATAAAAATAATATTGTTTTTCAGAATTTTCGGCTACATAGAAAATAAAATGAAAAAGTACACTGCCAAATCAGGGAGATCTCATCGAATACAGTAAATAACAAAGAAGGTATTGTTAGCTCTGTTTTGTTTGATTGTAGTTAAGCACAAAGCTACACAAAAGACTATCTGTACTCTACCTACCACGAGTATCAAAACCTGATTTCTTGCGTTGTAAGTCCACAGATATGCCGCTGTGCCACTAGGGGGCTAGCTCTTTGATAAAGTGAATGCATTAGTTCATTTTCTTTCATTATTGATGAAAAAGCAATTACAGCAACCTTTAATATCCCTCGTTGGGTCAGCGGTAAATTTACGATTTTATAATAGTAAAATCCGGGGTTCGATTCCTCGAGGTGGACTTAGCGTAGACAAGGTAGTTCTGTTTATGTTACATGCAAAACAGTTTTGATACTAAAGCATTATCAACATTGTATATATGAATTTGTACCTTTTAGTCATGCTCTGTGAGATACAATGATTAACATTATTATTTCTTCCTTATATAAATTATTCTTACACTTTATTTATAGGACATTTTTTATATAAAAAAACCTTTTTTTCTGCATAGGCTTTTATAAAAACACGAATTTCCTTCCTACTCAATTACTTTGAACTTTAAAAGCTGTGTTGTTTTTAGTAGGTGTACCTGTTTTCTTTTGGAGCAAAGGTGAAAGACAAAACGTTAAAACATTTAATAAAACATGTGTTTATTTGTAATAAGTGATCAAGCTGAAAATTCGGAAATGATGGCTATTACATAACAATAATCACCACGAAAGAGCCAGAAAGATCGCACCTAAAGGTTGTCACGTAAACGACCCTGCGACGCCAGAAAAATATGTTAGAGGATAATGTGTACTCAGCCACCAAAGACGAACCAGACAGAAGGCATCTAATGGTTGTCAGTTACACAACTCTCGCGGTACCAGAGAGGGGATGAGTTGAGAGGATAGCCTATACTCAGCCATCATAGAGGAATCCGGACAGAAAGAGTCATGGCGATGATGACTGTGAAAACACCAACGAAAATGTTACAAAAGCTGAATGGATCGCAATATTTACCAGTTTTCATTTCAGATAATAAAATACAATAAAACGCTCATAAAACAGCTTAGTGACGTACAATATGTCATTTTTATAAGCTGAAGCAAAGAAATCAGTTATTTATATCAAAAAGCATTGTATTGGCATGAACCATTCTTAACATTTTCGAACTTAATCCACGTAAATAACAATGTTTTATGTCTTAAATTTAATATTTTGTATTGACATATACTCTGTTAAACCATTATAAAATTTTAACTTCCGTAAATGTGAATAATGAGAGTGAGATATCGAACAGACATACTCAACATGCTGAAATTTAGTTCAATGGACGACAACTTCCTGCTGTATAAACACAAGTGTAGAGGACGAAGTTTCGAAAGTCTTCCGCCTTTTGTCTCAAAGAAATTTCCCAAACGGTACATAATTCCTTAAATCAAAGTTAAGTACGTCACAAGCTTGGATTTTACGAACTTGATGTCATATGATTTTGCTACACCAAAGGTACTTTAACTATTTTTCCAAGAGAAAAACAAGAATAAGAAGGATTAAACTAACTCCAAATTAATCGCATATTTTCTTTTCATTTGTGTTTTATATTTTTCAACCATTCTTATCATCCCGAAAACGTTCGTATGAAGATTAATAAATATCATTAGTTCGAAATACAAACTAAAAGGTGAGAACAATTATTAAAAAAAGTTAACTTTAACTTACTCTATAATGATATTAGTATCAAAAAATTTTACCTTTTCATAACTGGTATCAAGTACAACTTTATTCAGGCATAATAAGGTACATTTTCTAAATTTTCGAGCAGATGTTCTGCATATATTTAGAAACGCCTGGTAAACCAGATGTAGAAACGCTGTAAACTTACACTTATCCTTTACCTTACATATTACAAACTTGATATAAGAGCTTATATCTAATTATAGTATCCTGAGGATGACGTTGTAACGTCGAAACACGAAGAATCGTCAACTTTTTGAAGGCCATAGATAGGCCTAAATAAAATGTTTTTAACTGTGTACAAGTTTAGCGTTGAATATTATTTATGATTTTAGCTTATACCTACTTGGATTTCTTCTGTGTTGGCTCTTAGAGTGGGGTTATGCACATTTTAAGCAGATAGTACCGAGCCTTACGGAAGTTAGTTTCGTTTGGGGGGGGGGGTGCCTCTCTTGGATCTAAGAATTGTTAGATACTGCACAAGGAGCTTGATCTGACATAAAATTTACAACACAATAGAAGCCAGCAAATATGTCAGAAAGACACATTCTTTATAGTGAACAAATATTTTGTTTTATTTGTTTGCTTGTGTTTATTTGTATTCAGTTTGACGTCTGTGTTAATTTTGATATTTTACATAGAATTTCCGAAACATGCAGTTTGCGAATATTTGTAACTACGTTATATTAATGCACTTGAATACCATACCACAATCAATAGTTAACAAACAATTGTACATTCAAGTGAATGGTAACATTGTATAACGAGGACGAAATTATAATTCATTTAAGTGTGGCGTAGTGGACTGTGTCCTTAAAGCATTTTACGTTTTCGGTGCCAATAATTGTATTCGTTCATAGGGAAATCCCTTTTGCAGGTTTTACTAAGTAAATCCCAAGTGACTGTTCCATTCGAAAAGAAAATCATGGTAGGAAGAAGACTGATGTAATTGATTATGTTTTTCCAATTCGACTTGTTTCTTAAATGGTTTTCCTTCTAATTCTTGATGTATTAACAAGCCAAATGGTAAACTCGTTTAAGGAAAGTATTATATTATGTAAAAATAAAATTATCAGATTCAACTTAGCCTATGTTAAATGTTTTTGCTAGTTGCCATAAGGTTATACCAAATGCAATATGCTGCTTCATAATACTGATGAAGTTAAGATTTAGCTTAAATTATACAAGGCAAAGTAGATTAGTTTCTCTGTAATTTAAAGACTATCCGTCACAAAAAAAAAACTACTTTCTTTGTTCAATGGGGAAACTTTTGAAAAAACCTTAACACCAAGATATTTATGTTAATTTGCACTCAGAGAGAAGTTCTCATACATCTAGTTGACGTTTAGGTGGACTTTAGAGGCAAGTCTAACGACAAATTTTATCATTATAAATAGCACCCCTCGAATAATGATTATTAAACTGAATTTAAACTAAGCCAAACAATTGTGCATTTATAATATTCTAATACCCACTTGACGGTACTGTACACTGAAAAAGAACTTCTCAAAAGTAATTTATAAAACTAGATCTCACTCAAAAGTATTACAACTAACTGATGTTGTCAAAGAAGTTTATTTAAAGCTTGCTATGTTATCACTTGCATCAAAATTGTAATTGATCTTGAAA